CATAAACTTTGATATTATAGCTTTTATTCTTAGGATGTATGGCTCTTATAAGAAAAATATATTCTACATGTCTTTTAAAAAACCATTTTTTGAACTTACCATTAATATTTACTAAGTCAAAATCTTGTTACAAGAGTTTTTTCTTCAATAATAAAAAGACTTCTATCTATAAGATTTAAGACTTTTTTCTTTAATATTGATAGATTAACTTCAAAATCAACAAATGTTGGATCTTTAGATTATTTATAATTTTTTTCAGAAATAAGAAATTATTTAATATTGGATGTATTACCATAGTTATTAATCTTATAGACAAATTATTTTTTCAAATCTAGATTTTTCAAATCTAAATTTTTTAAATCTAGATTTTTCAAATTCACACTTCAAATATATCTTAATGGCTTTGGTGATAAAGTCTTTGGAATTCCATATTTGTTCCCTCCAACCATTTATTTCAAACCACAAATACTTGAAAGAGTTTTAACTTTGTAATACAATATGTAAATTTCAAAATATTACAATTATTGGATATTTTAAAATAAAAATTTCAAAATATTAATCTCTATTTGTCAATTTATAAAATAATATAGTCTAAATATTTTTTATTAAATAATCAATATTTATCAATGGCCTATCTAAGTATTTCTAAAGATTCTTTATTTCTTCAGATAATTTTATAGAATACTTCAATTAAAATTATTTTTTGACAAATAAAATTGATATTAATTCAATAATAGCATTAAATATAGTCATTTCCATATTTTCTTTTAAATAATAAATAAAATATTTTTTCACTTCATATTTATAAAAATAATATCTTTTTAAAATATATATATTAAAAGATCAAATTTTTAGTCTTTAATTACATCTACTTCTTTTTTATTATTATTTTTTTATAATCTAAGAGTAGTAGAAAATTAAAGTCAATTTCATCATATGAAGAAAGATAATTAAGATTAAGGACCTCAAAAATATTTTTAATGGTTTCTATCAAACTCTTGGCTTTCAAGTTTTAAAATATAATATCTACTTCAATTACACAAACCATATATAAATATAATTAATATTACATAAAATTCTTACCTTAAATCAATATTTAATTTATTAATAATAATTTTTATTATTAAATTTTTATATTTATTACTACAAATATTTTAAATTCTAACTTAATAGTCGTGCTTCCTACTACTAATTTACTATGACTATATGTCATGGACATACACATGTAAACCAATAATTACCTATATGATTAGATAAAAGTATGTTAATTCTATAATATCTTTTATAGAAGCTTCCTAAAAGCTTCATAGATATTGCTTTGACTTTATAGGTATCTATAATTGACTTTTTAGGTTAGAAATATGGTAAAAAAGTTGACTATATGTCACATATATTAGTAGCTTGAAGAACAAGCTAACTATGTGGCCTAAACATAAAAAAACTTGCCTTATAAGCTAAGACATATATCTTACAAAGTCAACACATATTAGAGGTCCTATAAAACATTGCCATGTAGCTCCTAGTTAGATAGTACATATAGAGGTAAGAGTAAAGCCCTCTTCACTCTTGTTAACTCCTTTCTTATTTCTAGTTTACATTTAAGAGTCTCTAATTTTCTTGTCTTTTGGCAATAGCCATTCCAGTTTCCTTTTAATATATATACTACTTTATTACTATTTTGTCACTTTTCTTTTAACACAGATTTTTTAGATTTATGCATCTTCTTTCAATTCATATCTTTGACACTATAACCATTTATCACCTATTTTTTTTTATTTTTTTTATTTTTTTTATTACCATTATTTTCTTAGTAGTAAAAAATGGTCACTATTTATATCTACATTAATTTTTTTTATCCTTTTTTATCTCCTATTTTTTCTTGGTGGTAAAAAAAAAAAAAAAAGGTCGTCATTTATGCCCATTTTTATTTTTTTTTACTCATTTTTCTAAATATTATATCTTGTTGGCCACCATTACAATCCTAGGCAAATTTTTCCATATTGTGACACCACTATGCACTATGAGAGGACACTTATTTCATCATAGTGCATTGTGTGAGATTTAGAAAGCTCTCCTGTTATGAAGCATTACTACTATTAACATGAAATTTAACTTTTTTGTCAAAGATCACCTATCTCAAGTTGGCTTAAGTCCCACAGTTTTGCTATCCAAGGTATTAAATGTTTAAAGGAGGGTGGCTAGAACTTATGGCTTTGTACCCTCCGATTATAAGGCCGCTTGCCCTATCATGTTTTCTATGCTTTATTAACTACATTATGATATTCTCTCTTATTACCTTTTTTTCTTCGAACCTCCCTTCTTCCCCCCTCCCTTCTCTTCCTTCCTTTCTTCATTTTTTATTTTATTTTATTTTATTTTTTGCATATCCAATGATTTTTGTAATAATTTGGATTAAATCTTAAGATTTGATAATTGAGATGTCTCAAGCCAATTGATTTTGTTGGAAGGTTTTAAAAACATGTAGTAACAATAGTATTCGTCATCTCTCAATTTAATTCAACTCAATTAGATTGTGTGTATTGTAATAGTAGTTGAATTAAGTTGAATTAGTTACATTGCATTCATAGTGGCAAAAAGAGATATGATAATCTTGGCACAATCCCCTTCATAGATATAATTAGAAAGAAAGAATTATACTACATAGATTTTGAAAATGAAGATGCACATAGAAATTAAGATTATGAAATTGAGTCATCTTGTTTTTATATACAATTATTTTAAAATTATAAAACTAAAGATTTTAGTAAGTGTTCTGAAAAATATAAGTTTCTTTTTAAACAAACATATATATATATACATATTTATACATCTCTCAAATATAAGTTATTTAAATTATTATTGTTATACTACATTATATTGATTTTGATTTATAGCATTTATAAAAACCAATTTAAGATAATAACTTAAAAAACCATAATATTTTTAAAAATCTTCATAGATTTAATTAGATAAATAATAAAGAATTATTCTTTATTTATAATTATATTCTATAATTAATATTTTATAATAATAGTAATTATTGTTTAAATATATATAAATATTTCAAAAAAATAGTCAATCTTTCATACCAAATAATAAACCTCATATGCATTGCCAATCAAATAGATTATAGATGTACACAATGGTTAAATTGATTATAATTGGTCAAAATTAGCATAGTAATTACTTGCAACAACTTATAGGTCTTACAAATCTTGTAGGTAGAGTAGGTTGTATCTATGCAAATTTAGTTGGTTACGCCATACAAAGAAAATTAGTCAAAGTGGGAAGCATTTTAGATTAGTATTTAATTATAAGAGATAGGTATGGGTATGAATATAGATACTTTGGTAGAGAGATAGAATGCTTAGCACCTATTTGACACACTCTTAGATTAAAATAAGATATATAGAATATTATTTGGAGGAAAGAAAAAGGAAATGTAGATTCATCTAATGGTTCTTCTTTCTGTTTAAAATTCCCAACTTATTTCTTAGAATTTTTAACTATTATTTTTGTAATTTTTTTAAAAAATATTCTAATTTGATTTATTGTTTTATATCTTTAATGTTTTATTACACCAACATGCTTTGTAAAACTTAATGACTCTATGCAAAATGTTCTCTTCTAAGCTTTTATTAAACAACTTAACTTACTTAAAAATAAAGTCAATTTTTTGTTTTCTCTGTTGACTAAAAATATAAGCTTGCAATCAATTACAATTATGACTTTTTTTATTTTTATTTTTATTTTTATCTCTGAGTTGAAGAATCTCTTTTCCAATAATAATTTGTTGATTTATTGAGATTGACTGTTAGTCCTTCAATACCCATTTTGGTTTAGATTGTTAAACAATCTAAATCTCTACTTCTAAATCTTGTGTGTAATTAGACAATTCAAAAACCTATAAAAAATCAATTCTTCTAGTGATAGATAGAAATGCTATATTTGGAATTAATTTTTTTATTTTTTATTTTCTTCTTGATTTTGCAAATATTAATTTTGCATGTATAAAATTAAATATCTATATAGTAATCATTATTTCTTTTAATTCAAGATTCTTAAGATAAAACATTATTTAAAGATAAAATTTAAATAATAATGTAATCTCTTTTTTAAAACATAGTAAGGTTTTATAATATATCATTGATGTTTTATTATTTTGGCATAGATTAGAATTTTTTAATTTAAATAATTATAGTAAGAGCTGTATCTTAATTAAAATTACTATTTATACATGTACAGTGTATCACCTTAAAATTAGAATTGATCACTATATGTTATTTTTAAAGAATTGAATACTTATTTACAATTCATTTTTTCAGAATGTGCTTAGAGAATAGTTTTTGTATGTAAAAAATTCTATAATAAAATTGTAGTTTTATATTCTCAAAGACATTTTATTACAATGGTCAAATATGTCAATCAAGTACACAATAAAAGAAGGAGTACATATACACATAGATATAGATATGATTATTTAATATAAATTAATTAATTCAAATATAAATATATAACTGTTTCACTTTAATGCAGTATCCAGGATACAATATTTTTTCCAAAATACTCATGCAAGTGTGTGTATCTCTAGATATTGTGTACTTGATTGACATATTTTGCAGCATGTTTTATGATATTTTAAAGAAAATGTGCTTTATAGCTTATGTATTTCTTTTCAGATAACATCAAGCAGATCTTCCCCCAAAAGAAAACAAAATGATGTACGTAGCCACCTTAACAACCATGCACTCACAGAAGCAGCCACGTGGACTGACAAAATAAAAAAGCTGAAAACGCTGATCGGAGCACAGGAGTCAAATCTCCGGTTCATCGAAAACGCCAGGTCAGCGACAAGGCCATGTCAGCATAAAAAATCAACGAGGGAGCCACGGTGGCAACGCTGCAGCGCCGAGGTGGCGGTGTGACGTGGATGGTCCTCCCTCATCCATCAAATATTACACTGGCATCGTGATTCCTCTGCTCTGCCACTTCCATCGATGAAGCCCCTTTACACGTACAACACGAGCCCTGGTCTCGCATTCGCTTCCTCGCTATATTTACAATCCTGCATCAGCTTCATGAAGCACTTGTAGAACTGCAGTCTCGTCTTACTTGCACTCGGAGGATCGAGAGTTGTCGCCATTCATGTAGCGTTCCCATCTGCAGTTTGGGTAGCATTCCCGTTGTGAGTTTTACTTTTGTGGGGGCGGTCATCGTTATCATCGGTGAGTAGATGCTTGTGTAGGACTAAATTTGGTGAGGTGTGTGCTATTCTGGCTTGTTTAATGTTGAGATCGTTTCTCTGGAGTTTGTGGGTTGCAGATGTTTGCCTCCGCAGGTTTGTATTTCTTGATTGGGTGTGTGTTAGTTGCTAGTCCGTTGAAGATTGTGTCGATTCGTTGTGTGTCGTCATCTTTTAATTGCCTCTTGATATTCTCAATAAGGAATTTCTCCCAGGAACCTCGGTGGCTGATTATATGCTGGGGTCGTTCTCAATCGCTTCTATCTTCGGGTTGGAGATAAACTGATCAGTTCCTCGAGATATGCTCTAAAAGTACTCTACAGCTAGTCATGTTCAGCCGCGTCCTATCCAATTGCTTTAATTTCTATGCCCTGTCATCGCTCTTCAACATCGATGTTTCTTTGAACTTTTCCCATGCCCTTTCCTTAAGGATCTGTTCGTTAAAGCTGTATTCTTGTCCTAAACTGTAATCTTTGGAGAAGCTAAATTGTGACATTGTAAGTCTTGGACTGCTTATCTTTTACGCATCGGTAGAGCATCTCTTTACGACTGCTCTTGGTGGTCTGTGTAATTGGTTGATGTGTCTCATATTTGCTGCCTAGACTTGTTAGTGCAACTGTTAATTATAGTTTTTTAAGGTAATCTTCAACGATGCTTGAGTACTACAGTGTAATACCTTTATTTGAATCATTTTCAGCCGTTTTCATGTGCAGCAGAGAGCATTAGAATCAAGGAGTTGAAAGCATCCGTTTGCTTTTAATACGCACAATCGTTTCGGTAGTGAGCGTCATCATGCATCGCGGCGAGAGGGAGCCTTATAATCCGTACCCTGAGGAGGGTTACGGCCGAGGAGAGGAATTCCCAAGAAGGGATCACCATCACCCCCACCACCCCCACCATTCTTCAGAAGCAGGACCTCAACATGGCATGAATCTCGAGCACAGACCTCCTCCCCCGGTAGTATATGGAGGCTCTGCGCCACACGGGTATTCTGAAGGACCATACGGACAGGAAAGAAGGCCTGGTCCTTACGAAGAGCAGAAACCTGGAGGACATGAAGGGTACACAGATTACAGGCACGGAGGATATGAAGACAGGAGGAACACTTCTAAATACCCAACTGGATCTTATGTTCAAATGGATTCGTTACCCGGCGGCTACGATGCTGGTCCTCCGTCAGGTTAGTTTGTGAATGAATCTGATTCCTAGCCATATAAATTACGAGACTAGGCTTATGCAAAATTCTTTTTTCCTAATGAATGTGCTGTTCCACTATAAAAGCTAACGCAGGATTTCAGCTACTGAGCTGTTATAGGAGCTTGGGATATTGATGTAGGTCATGGTTACGGGAGTGCGGAATACAACACCTCGCCCTATGCGCCCGCCCCACATCACAGAGCAAGGGATGAGGATGAGGGTCCTCGCCGAAGGCAGTTTCCTGGACATCCTGTAAGAATTCATTGCAAGGCGGATCCTAGTTACAACCTCGCTGTGGTACCTGGCCAAGGCCCGGTTATGGTTCCCACTGACATAAGCGATGATTACCAGGTGAGCGATTTAACATATTTCCCCTTTTCCAAATAGAGGAGATAGAGAACCCACTTTTCACTACAAGCTCGTATCTTTATAAACATTTCATAACCATCCCTGAGACCTCTAGTTTCAAGCATTGTTCCGCGAATTGTCGTACTGCTGCACAATCACATGAATGAATTTAGTACCAGCCACCCGCATACTATTCTTACTCAGCGCGCATGGTGATATTGACTTTTAATGTTTTTTGAATGCTTTTATCCAAAAATACCCATCAGGTGTGGTACAAGGATGAGACTATAAGCACTCGAGTGACGGATGAAACTGGAGCTAGTGCCTTCTCTTTGATCAACAAGGCTACAGGTCAAGCTTTGCGACATGCACCTGAGGACCTGAAGCAGGTGTTGTTGTTTACAAGCATCCCTGTTAATGCTTGAAGATGAGTGACTCAAATTTTCTAGATTCCTGATTCACCGGACTGTAGAAGTTCAAAACCTTAAGATAAAGCTTAGAATCAGCTTGAAACAGATGTGCTGATTCTGAGTTGGATGTGTTGTCGTATTGCAGTGCCTTTTGACCCAGTATGAACCCAACGGTCTCGATGACACCATTTGGTGGACAATGAGTGAGGATATGGGCCAGGGATACCACTGCATCCGTCTTGCGACGGATATCACCCGAAACATGGATGTTCTTCGTGGGGATAAGAAATCGGGGGGTGTGAAAGAGGGATCGCCTGTCATTACATTTGCTTGGAAAAAACAGGATAACCAAATCTGGAAGATGACCCCTGCTTGTAAGCTGTTGTTTAACGCACTCGTTTTTCTGAACTACTGAAATTTTCTAAATTAAGTTCAGAGCTGGAATGGAAGACTCTAATTAAACCACATCTGGATGCTTGTGTTGGACATCTGGTACTCATGTATACTTTTGGTTTGCAGGAGGAGGATGTTGTGGTTGGTGTGTTAAAACGCACACTTGCATTTGAAAAGTCTGCGATGCGGATGTTGAAGTTAGAGGACCCGTCTATAAGTGGGTTCTATAATTGTGCATGTAAGGTTCTGCTTGATGGCATAATGTAGGAATGTTCGCAAGTATGAGTGCAGGTGGGTTCGCAACTAATTGATCTTACAGCTGCAGCAAGATTATTTGAGGAAAGTTGTTTATATGTCTTCAACTACTTATAATACAATGCATATATTTTTGTATAGTACCTCAAGCATTGAGCGTTTAGTAATTTCAGATTTATTAAACAGGATATTATGTTTTGCCGATCTTTCAGGCCATTATCAATCTATCAATAGTCCTTGCAGTTGAATTAAATGCCAAGTTGAAAGTATATTTTCTTTTTGTTATTTTAAAAGAAATTTATTTTCTAATATCAATTTTAATTTAGACTTCTTCATGAATCTAAAGAAAATATGTATAAATGTTTAGTGGAAAACTGTAAAAATGTGAAACAATATTTAAATAATTGTAGTTTTTAAGCTTTTTAAGTAAAATCCATTGAAAAATATCTAATGAGGATAAAATACTTCTAAGATTAAAAAAGACTAATCATACACTATTAAATAAGAAATTAAAACTTCTCTCTTCAAATTCCATTCCGTTTTGAACCTTTTATATCTTAAATAAGAGTGGTTACCAATGCCACCAAAATTTATTCTTATTAAATTTTCAAATCTTTTTTATTAAAATCAATTTTACCCTTCGAAATTTGAAAAATCAAAAAATATTAGAAATGTAATTTTAAATGGACCCAAAATTTTACTAAATTGTTTCCCCATCGTAATAATGAAAAAAAAAAAAAAAAAAAAAAAAAGAAAAAAAAAGAAGAAAAGACCTCTAGATTCATTTCTCCATTATTAGATGTACAACTAACGAAAATCAACCACATTCATCATTATTATTTTATTCTTTATTAAAAGTGAGTAGAATTTGTAAAAACATGGGTCTAATTAAGATTCTCTTAGAAATATTAACAATTTCATTATTAGAATAATATATATATATATATATATATATATATATTGAATAGGTGATAGGATGTAATGGCAATAGCAAAAATTGTGGTGGCATTAGCAATACCTTATATATATATATATATATACCCACAACTTAATGAATCAAATTATAATCTCATAAAATTCTTCATTAAATAACTTGTTAGAAAAAGTAATCCTTAAAAATATGTAATTTTTAATTTGTTATGAAGTACACCTTAATATTTCCAATGCTAGACACCATAATTTAAATATGTGAATATTAACTTATTATTGACGTTTTTTTGTATCAAAATTTGAAAAATGATCAAAAAAAAAAAAAAAAAAAAAAAAAAAATGTACTACTGTGTACTTTATATTAAGTTAAAATAAATTTGACATGATTTACATGGACTTTACAACTAATATCTAATCCAAAATACTTCCAGTTTTTTTATCCCAGTGGACTGCACATCAAACTTCAATCATTAATTTCTTTCAGTAGTTTTTGTTATACTAGACCAATTTACAAGAATGTCACATTTTATCATTTTTAGAATATATTTGCCAATAATAAAATTCAATTAATAAATGTGTTTGTTATTATTGTAGATTGCCAAACCATATGATATCAATTCAAAGGTCACAATTTCTTTTAAAGGTTTAAAAGAGACTGATTCCAATCTTGGAAGTAAATACATTTTTTTACTTTTTAAGATTTAACAAAAAAATATATATATATTATGTTATGTGCTCACTTATTTTTTTCATTCGATTTAATGTAACTGCTATGACGTATATCATTTAAATCTTATAATTTAAAAATATTTTCTATAATTTTATCCATTAGACTTTGTAGTTGGACTGAAATTTTCTCAATTGGTTGATTAAAACGGAAGAGAAAAGTTGTAAACAAGTATTTTTTAAAAACATGAATGCATTACTTCAATACACTTAGGAATTCCTTGTGTTCAACAATATTATGCATTTGTGCATGATACTTAATTTGTCATAAATATTTAAAGTTGTTGGTAAAACTTAGTTTTAATTTTAACATCATCAACTCATTTCATCGAACTCATGCCCACATGTGATGATGTTAATCTTGGTAGGTTCTGGCACAACCAATTTTGTTTTCTCCTCTCATACACTCATTTCCTTTTAATAGAATACTTTGAAAACTTATAGATTGAACTTGTTCATGTGGTCCTCATAATAAAACCCACTAAGTCCATGATATAAGTGATTGCAGAATATAAATGGATGTAGCCATCCAAAAGAATGAGCCATCACCATGGACCATGAAATTTGCTCATTTACTCCCAAAAAGACAGAACATTTTGTTGATGGAAACCTAATTAACATGCAATCTTGTACAGGGAGTACTCTTTGCATATCTAACTGCTCATGGATATCAATAGCCAGCTGTGAATTATAAGCAATTGCTAGCCCCTGTCCTTCAACAGAGTCCTGTTGCATCCTCACCAAATTTGCTGCTAATTGCAACTCTCATGACTGAGCCACCACAATAGTAATTTTTCTTACATTCACTGGAAAAAGTGTATTCATGTACTCTATACAAAAGAGCTCATGCATTGAAATCATTTGACTTGTCAGCAACTATTTACCCAACTACAGTTCAAGCACTTCAAAACGCCATGTTAGGGATCCACAGTCAAGTCTGCAAGTCTAACGTAATACTTTACTAATCATGGCATATTTTCCCACAAGGTGTGTTTGAGAAATTGCTCACTAATGAGGCGTGAAATCATTAGTGAGCAATTACTCAAACACACCAGCAGCTACTACTCAACGACAAGTAACTTTCAATGGAGACAGCCTTGTTATGCTGGTTCGTAGAGTCACCATAGCTTGCCTCTCATACTCATGGTTCAGAGAATAGTATCCTTTCTCGTACACCAATGTAGCCGTTAAGAAAGGGCTAGTGAAGCAATACACGTATATTAGTCACCGCATATATTAGTCATACGGTTACGAAAGTATACGTGCCATAGCAACATAAGCTGCAAACATTAATTTAATCTCAAAAATCTCCATTACGGTTGAATTACTTATGCACACTGGTAATAAATCACGCTCTCTTAAATTGCATTCGACCACGCCGCCTCAGCCTTGGTCTTTTCTCCCACACAAGCTCCCTTGGCTTCTCCAAATCCAATTCTTCCACTATACTCAAAAAAATAGTGATTAATTGTCGTCCAGGATTAACCGTGTCAAAAGGAACTCAAGCTAAAAAAAGTAGATAAATGGCTCTTCACTGATGAATGTTAATACAAAAGTTAACTAAACAAGCTGGGTGTTTTCCGGAAGTGCCAGACTAAAGTGCAAAAGAAAGGTGCGGATTACGAAAAAAGACGTCAAAACCAAGCTGACCTGGATAGCTGTTAAGCGATTTGCCAGCAACTGCCAAAACTTGTAAAGCAAGAGGTTTCCACAACTCAGATGTGGAAAGAGGTGAATCCATCCCAACACTGAGTCCTCGCAGTATGTGTATGGTACGCAAGATGTAAAACAACCCTCGGGGAAAGGTCTGCATGACGCAAAGACTTGTTTTACATTCAAACTTTATCCAATTTCAGGGATGTTCACTTCAAGGTTTAAACATATTCTACAACGTAGCGCTATCATTTCGCTTAAGATGCGAGTGACATCCAAATTAACACACAAGGGATAATATGAGAACCTTCACAGAAATGTCATGTAGCACTGCATCATCACCAAATGGGTTCGCCACAGTCATTCCAAGAGGCAGCTGTGTGTCAAACATAATAGTAGCTAGTGTCTTGAAGTTCTTTGGATCTTTCTCTGCAGATACAGTGGTCTCGATGCCAAGGTCCCTAAACATCAAACCACCATCAGAAATGACTCAAGGTTACATCATTTCCTTCAAACAGTAAGAACCGAGAGCGTACGGCCATCAAAATTAATTCGGGTAACTTGACTTATATATCATATACTCTTCCTTAAAAGAGCACTGTGCTCGAGAGTACAAGTGCACCCCTCCGGAGTCACCTAAAAGGATCTTACATAGCATTCTTACACTACTTGGATGATTGAGGGGTAAGTAACAGTCAGATACAACCTCCAGGGTGCAATTAAGTTTCAATATTCGATTTTACGTTCAAGTAGACGACGGGGTTGGAAATTACCGATAAGAAAGACCCATCTCTCGCACATTACTAGATGCAAGTGCTACTATTAGCCGTGCAAAACCCAGCCTTACTTTATCATCAATCTCCTTCACCTGCCCATAATCCAGAAGAGCCACCTGCAACATTCCAATTATCTTGGAAACCATCAAAATATGAAATATCAAAGTAACTGACTATTATTTCTGTTCGTACAAAATTCAGACTGGGATTGCAATTCACTATTATGCAAAAATAGCATGTGAGAATTCTGTGGAGATGTCCAAGAAAATTTACCACCAATCATGAGACAAGTAACAATAAATAGGCAAGTAAAGAGAGTGTTTGCCTTCCCCTTCTTGTTGATGAGAATATTCCCAGGATGAGGATCAGCCTGAAAGAAACCGTCTCTTAAAATCATCTCTCCATACGCTGTTGCCAAGTCGCTCAAGATTCTCCTGACAAATAAAATGTAAGACCAACTCTTTTAAGCAAAAACTCAGAATGGTAGTAATTAATACATCGATTCATACAATAAATGAAGGGCGTTGAGGAGAAAGGCTACATGAGAGCCTTGGCTCTTGCATAAATTGTAAAATTCACTACTCTCCTAACGCACCAAATTGAACAAAGAAAAGTTGCTGCCCGTTTGAGAAAATAAATAAATAAATAAATAAATGCAAAGACCTTATTCGTCCAATGAAGATGCAATAAAACAAGCTTGAACCAGGGTAAACAAACTCGAATTCCCGAACTGTGCAGTGAAGTATGTTCCCAACCTCTTGGCATTTTTGGCAACAGAACCATTGGGGTTGATACCCCGTTTTGTCATTTCATCTCCCATTTGTAAGATTGGTATGCCCTCAATGAAGTCCATTACCAGCACTTTTCTGCAAGCATCACCTCAAAGCCATCACAACAATCAAATACTGGAAGCAGAACTTTTAGAAACTAAAAGATAGAAAAAAATAAACTAGGCTGAGAGGATTCGCCCAGGCATCTTCATGAATAACTAGAAACGAAGAAAAGGATAAAACCGCGACGTAGCATATCAGAATAAAGACAAAGACAATCAACACTTTCAACAAGCAGAATCTCAAGGTAATGTGTTGTATAAACTTGGAGGTGAGCTTACTCGGTGACCAAATCTGGCACGGAACGAGGAACCGTAACGGGTGGTTTTCCTTTAAAGGCCACGTTCAAGGACTCGGAAATGCGGTCCATCGATTTTGATTCTCTTATGAAATCAAACTCGAATTCAACCTGTGCAGAGAGAGGAGCAGAATCCTAATCAGAACAACTTATGCTGGAGATCTACTTTTAATACACATGGTAGGGGAACGTCAAAAAGAAAAAAGGAAAAAGGAAAAAAACTACGAGAAAGAAACTAAGATTAATAAATAAATAAATAAATAAAGTGAATTTAAACCTGTTCTTCGAGTTCATCAAGAATGGAAATTAGATCGAATGGCACATCGAATCGTTGCAAGAAGCTGGCAAACACTTTTTGGTTCCGGATGTCTATCATCATCAACTCATACGCTTGAGGGTGTTGCACCTATTCATCATGTCGAAGAACCAGAGTAAGTGAGAATACTTCTAAATCGTAAATAAAATCAGTAAAGAACCCGCCAAAACTAGACTATTCTAGCGATTTAGTCCCCAGCTTCTTAGCGTGTAAAAAGTTAATTACAACAATCAATAATTTACTAAAGTGTCAATAGATCAGATGATAGGATTACCTTGACGGCGACATCGTTAGTTGCTCCCTTCAACCTGGCGCGATGAACCTGCACAAATGCAATCCATAGGAACATGGGAGATCACTAAAGGTGTCATAGGCATACATTATGAGAACATGACACACAACCATACTGTTAAGTGGGCGACATCAGGTTCAAATCAAAAAATTGGAATCTTCAAGCCAGTTACCAGTTAACGAAAGCATCAACAACTAAAATTTAATATAGGGTTATTAATTCATACTTGTGCAATAGAAGCTGAACCAAGAGGTTCCGTTTCAAAGCGCTCAAAAACATCCTCCACAGTCCTTCCCAATTCTTGTTCCAAAACTTTTAGGACCGTCCCAAAGGGCGTTTGTGGGGCGCGGTCACACAGGACTACCAATCTCTTCACCCACGGTAGCGGTGCAAGATCAGGTTTCGCTAGTATTTGTGCCGACTGCCAAAATACAAATCACCGTGAATAGAATTGCAAACGTAAGCCCCCTCATTAACCTCAAAAATTACTGGATGGAATGACGAATGAGTGAGGAGGCCATTTTAATATATGCATTGCAATCAAACTCCCGATTTTGAGCACATCACGAACTAACCTTCAAGAAAAGTCCTCCCAGTTCGGTACACAGAGTATAAATCTTATCTGCCGCAATTTCATGTCGCTCCTCCCATATACGCTCGCGCTCTGCTTCATCCTTCACAAACTGGACGCGGACTTGTGTTGCCTATACACGCGAATGGTTCAGTTTTGTTAGACAGAACGAAGGCCCCATTCCAAAGTTCGCGAAGGTTGTGATTCTTGTACCATCCACAAAAGCACAAAAATGTCTGTGAATTGAAATTGAATGAACGGATTGTGTAGAAAGAGGTGCAAGGAAATCGAATAGACCTTGTAACTCGCATAGATGGCAATGGTCCGTGTCCAGAATTGGACAGTTCGGTCCATTTTTCTGTGTGCCTTAATCCCAAATTCGTGTATGGCGCTTATGTGCGCACTCCTCTTCTTCTCATCGAAGATATTCCCCGCAAACTGCTTCACACGCTCATCCATCTCTTGATGTCTCTTGTGAATTCTACTCAATTGCTGACCTCTCCTCTTCTCATCTAAAAACCCTTGTGCAGCGGTACCGAAATGTAGCACACGCTGCTTCTCAGAAGATATCCATTGCATTGCATGATCACCAACCCATCCGAAAGGGTTCAATGACCTAACAACCTCCGTGCGCTCCATACCCGTGGTAAACTCACTCTCAAAGCTTTATGGGTGCGACAGTCCTCGAACGAATATACAAGCGCCTCAGACATGTACCCATAAAACCCTTTTACATGATATCCCCCTGCACATAGCCCTTGACCGATCACAATGAACAAATATTTCAACATTCGGCAGCCTCAGACTCCGCACATCCATAGGTAATGTGCTGAGAAAATGCCAGTCAATAATTTCCCCCATTACCTCGATTCTAAATCCAATGAATGCAGGCATGCGCTATCCGACTACCCAACAACCAATATTCACTACAGCTATCGAAGCCAAGTTCGAGAAATTGCACGCCTAAGCGGACTTCCCAACACAATCACGTGACGCTGAGCCCTGCCTACTACAAGAATTACAAAGCGAGCTTCCATAGAAACAGCCGCAGCATCCATAGCCAATCCATTTCATAACTCACAGCTACGACGGCACACGAACCCACCTACTACACAACACCGCTATTGAACCAAAAAGAAAAGAGAAAAAAGAAAAAAACCGACTACTGCACTCAATCACAGTCAATTCGTCGTATCCTAGCTTCAAATTCCAAGTCCCCTAAAACTTGCGGCTGTCACTTGTTTGAGGGAAAAAGCCCGGGACACTTACCACTTTATTCCGCCTAAAACATAATGGGTAGGAATCACACCAGACACAGATTCACCACCCACAGAAACACTGATGCACGTGCAATCTATACCCTTGAGCCGCTAGCAGTTGCGTGGATCGTCACTCTCCGTTATTCTCAGTTTGGGATGCAGTGGCAGGACCCTGTGGTTGACAAAGTTGACCACCAACTAAACGCCATCACATCGTCTCGTCTCAGATATCAGGATGAGGCCCCCATTATTTTTTACTGCTCAAATTTGCTCAAGGATGAGCGCGGAGGTCGCCCATCCATTCATCGCTGCGGTTGAAAAGCAGAGGTTGTAAGGATGCGACGCAATCCCCTTGTTTGTTTGTTTGTTTATTGTTGTTGTTGTTACGCCATGGTTCACCGCATCTGTGCACCTTCGTGACGCAACGGGAATCTCGACGCAACCCTGATCGATGATGCTCTCTCTCACTCACTCACTCTTTCTTTCTTTCTTTCTTTCTTTCTCGCATTCCCTCCCTGGCACAATCACACTCACACTCACACTCTTGACGTGTGCTCATTCACTCTCCCATTCACGCATAATCGCTCATTCGCATTCGTCTTCGTCTTCGTCTTCGTCTGCTCGATGATGGTGGGGGTGGGGCTGTCAGTGGGACCTGGGCACTTCTCTTTGCATCAATGAATGCAATGCCGCATTTTTTCACTCCCCTTTTGATGCATTGGTCATGTTCTCCTTTGATTTGACAGAGCACGTTTGCCGGGTCGCACTGCTGTGGCTTCTTTTCATCTCTTCATCTCGTTTTTGGAGTTGGATGTTGGGATACAACATGTTTCAAGCTGGATATCCCTGGTCATTAGAAGCACTCTTGTTTACCTTTTGCGTGGGTCCAAAATTTTGCTGTCCGCAATAGTGAGTGCGTCAAAGTTCCGAGTTTCATCAAACTTGTGGGAGTCTCAGCTCCACTTCTATCAAAATTGTGGGTGCTTTTCAAAGTTCTGAGTATTATCATGTTAGTCTTGATTATTATCTACAAATTATTATTTGTAAGTAAGTTTACATGCCCGTCTGCTTATTATTTAAGCTTATAATTCAATTTAAGAGGAGAACATGACCAATGCATCAAAATTAAAGAAGATAAACTAATTTAAGGCTTTCAAATGATAAATAAAATTGTATTAAAAAACCAAGTTAGACACCTTAGTTTATCAAATTTTTAAACTTCTTACATAGAAAAAGAAGATAATTTGAACAACTTAGCTTAGGCAAATAAAAAACTTATAAGTAATACAACTATAGTTGTTCAAATGAGATCTATAAGAGCTAATTTATAAGAGTTAGTAAATTTAAATTGGCTAAGATGTATTAAAGACATTGTAGTCTCAAAAGTTGACTTTATATGACTAGATACCAAAATCTATAGTTTAATAAATATGGTATATTTCTTTTGTTTTGTTTGAATTTAAAACATGACTTTTCACCTTACAATAGAATTTGTTTTAATGCTTGCTAAGGTGAAAAGTCATATTTTAAATTATTTTATAATTTTAATTGAAACTTATGATATATATATAAGATTCTATTTATAAGTAGAAAGATTATTTATGTGTTCAAAATAAATCTTTATAAATCATTTATTACAAAAATTTAAAATTTAACAAAAAGTCTCAACAATTTTTTTAAAAAAATCTTAGAGTATAATTATTTATATGTCATATTTATAATTATAATTCAATATTTTTAATAAAAAATTATTAAAATATATATATATAATTTATAGATTTTTTAATATTTTATATTTATAATTAATTTATTTATAATAGTATTTAATTTAGATATATTCTATAATAATATAACAATATATTAATAAGTTGAGCTATTATACCTTAATCGAATAAAAAAAAGAATTATAAATAGTTGTCTACTTCTATAAAAGGAGGTGGCATTTATCTTCTTTCTAAGATATTTATTGTCTTATATGGCTCAAAAAGAGACACATGGAATATGAGATAGATTTTTATAGATTCCACTAAATGTAATTGATAAGCAATTGGATTGATTTGTTCAAAACTAGAAAATGATCAAAGCTTATAGTAATCCAACTTGTCACAAGGACAATTAGTCTTGGTATTGTAATGAAGTAACTATATCTTGTTGTCAACATGGAATTGAATTTTTTTTTTGCAATAAGCATCTATATTGGTCTTTTGTCATTCTTTGAGCTTCTTTTAATTATGTCTTCATTGTTATATATAGCTCAAATAAAGGATTCGCCCAATCTTCTATTGCATAATTATCAACTTTTGAGAAATTAAAAGAATCAAGGTATAGATGATAATTATAATTAGCAAAGAAAGGTGTTGCTCTAAAGAAGAATGCATAATATTATTATAAGTAAATTCTAAAAATAGTAAAAATTATCTAATTATCTTATTAATATTTAATGGTACATCTTAAATACTATTCTAAAATTTGGTTTATGTAATATATCTATTAATTACTTTAAAATTAAAAAGCTAAAAAGAGCTTTATATCCACTTTTAAAATCTTGAAAAGGATTCTCCAAAATCTTGACATAAATTGAATCTCCCTATTTGATATAATATCTTTAAGTAATTGATGATAGCAATAGATATTATCAAGAAAAAACTTAGTCATTTTTTTACTTATGATAGATTTTGTACATAGTACAAAATATGCCATCTTAATAAAATAATTTACTATCACAAATATAAAATCATACAAATGTAAGATTAAAAGATCCATAATAAAATCTATAGAAATAAAAGACTATAATTATTTTAGAATTGGTAATAACTAAAAAAATCCATAAAATTGATGACAAGGAGTTTTTTATCTTTAATAAATATTATATGATTGTACAAAGTCTTTAATTGCCTTCCACATTAGAAGCTACTAAAAATCTTTAGATATTAGCTCCAAAGTCTTATTATATCCAAAATATCTAATTACAAGAAAGTCGTGATGAGCTTAAAAAATACATATTCATGCTTTATTTTTTAGAATGTATAATTGTTCTTCAAAATAGAATATATATATTTTTTGAATTCAAATTTAAAAATATCATAAGATTTAGAGTAATTATTCTTAATATTATAAATAAGAGGATTAGAGGACATATTTGATTGAACTTGCTTAAAAAAGATTAAATTAATAATCAATGTTGATTTTATTTCTTCAAGATAAAAATGCTTTGGCTTCAAGAGAATTATTTTTTGTTGATCAAAATTTCTATTTCCTTCTTTTGGTGCAAGATAAGAATTTTTAGAAAGAGCATTTAACAAACCTTATTGTTTTTTAGGTTGATAAGTGATCATGATAAAGACATGCTCCAATAGACTTAGTGATGATTCAAAACTTGTGCCGACATAAAATACTAAAGTTTTTTTTGATCTATATATATGGTGATTGGATTAAAAATGCCTTCTAAATAATGACACCATTTTTGAAATGAATCCATGATTGGAAAAAGCTCTTTGTTGTGGATGTGATAGTTAATCTTGGCTATTACAAATTTCTTAGAATGAAAAGCTATCAAGTGGAGTTTGCAATCTCTTCCTATTTGTGACAAAATAACATCCATAGTAAAGTTTTATGCATTTATTTTCATAAAAAATACCTTTAAAAGTTGACATTGTTGTATTATAATTATTTATATTATGTAAAAATTAACTAAAAAATATAATATATTTGTAAGTGTTGATGTGCATTAGTGGTTAGTAGATTAATTTAAAGAGAGTTGATGTAAGAAAATTTATTTTGATGTTTACTTATATTGGTTATGGTGTTTAAATTATATAGGATTTAGATATTTAGTATAAAATTTAAGAAGAAGATTGGAGCTCAATGATGAAGTTTCAAATCTCTAAGAAAATTATTTAGACAAATGAAAGCAAGATATAGATGGATGAAGGCAAAAGATAATTATCTTCATCTCTAATGGTCGAAGGCCATATCCAACAGGCATTTAATAGGCTGTCTACAACCATAATAAGGATTTTGGTAACTTCAAAATAGGCATTCAAGAATCAAAAGTAAAGATTATAAGATTTAGGATTTGGATTATAATTTTTGTTCAAATTTTAATAGATTTGGAGTTAAGATGATGAAGTTATAGCCATTTGAAGTTAAGGTGACTTTTTAAGACTTATTATTGCTCATTTGAAGATACAAGGAGTTTTAAAACAGATTTTAGAGATAAAGAGGTGCAATTGCAAGGGTGATTTTAAAATCTACATTTTTTATGAAAGAATTTTTGCATTTGAAGTTTGTATGTAGGAGTTATAGAGTGTTAAAGATAGCAAATATAATTCAAAGGTAATAAGTCAGTTATTTTATTAATAGTAATGGTTGGAATCATATCTTAAGTTTTTGGATAAATTTTTAGCTCAAAATTTTCAAAAATATATATTATTAGATTAAAAATTTATATATCAAAATTTTATGGTATTTAAGTACTTAATTTGTGAGATATAAAGAAAATTGCACATACATGTATGTAAGAAAGGGTTTGAAGCTACTATTAGGATTTTGACAATATCTAAAGATCCATAATGAATTTGCAATAGAAATTTGTTATGGTAGTTGTTAATAGTACAATGGTGTCAAGGACAAGAACTCGATGAAAAAGCAATTCACACAAGAGAGCCTTCACTCAAAGAAAGGTAACAAAATATAAATAAATAAGTATGTATATTGAAAGAGAAACTAGAATGGCTATTGCCAAAAGACAAGAAAACTAGAGATCCTTGAAACTAGACTAAAAGCAAGAAAGGAGTTGACAAGAGTGAAGAAGGCTTCACTCTTGTCTCTATATATACTATCTAACTAGGAGCTACGTGGCGATGTTCTATAGGACCTCCAATATGTGTTGACTTTGTAGGATACATGCCTTGACTTATAAGGCAAGTTTTTCTACGTGTGGGCTACATAGTTAGCTTGATCTTCAAGCTAACAACATGTGTGGCACATGGCCAACTTGTTGACCACGTTTCTAATCCAAAAAGTCAATTAAAGACACCTATGAAGTCAAAGCAACGTCTATAAAGCTTCTAGGAAGCTTCCATATTAAATACTATCGAATTAACTTATTTTTATCTACTTTTACTTACTTCTACATATTTGTATATGTAATTAATAGCTTACATGAGTATGTCCGTGACATTACCCCCCTTTCTAGGGACAAGTTCTAAGAGGAGCGGTCATCATATGTTGAGGAAATCTATGATGCAACAAATTGTATTCGCCACATACTCTCATCTTTGTTCTCTTCGAAGATGATTGATAGGGCCTCTCAACCATCAGTAGTATCACATATTAGGGCGGAAAGACCACCTAGTTATTTGATCATTGTTTAGGCCTTCATAACTTCCTTTGAATAGAACATTTGGAACACCATCAGGAGTTGTTCCTACCTCTAGTAAAATCACCAAACATCGGGAGTTCCTTCCCAAGTCGTGATACCAAACACATTATATCTCGCCATCTATTCGAGGAAAAACATGTCATTCTTGAAGATCTTCATCTCGATTGCATGG